TTATGATTTATGATCCATTGAATTTGCAAATGATCTAAGTCCTCGGTGTGGTATTTGGTGGTAAATGTACGGGATCTACCTATCTAAATTCTTCACAGACATCACTAAAGAGTTTTCTTACTTTTAAACTAAGTTATTGATTTGTCATAGTTTACACTACAACGACTGGTAGGTAAGCTTTAGAATGAATGATGGTTTTTGTTGACACACAGAAAGACTGATACAAGTAATACATTACTTGTTTATTTAATATTTCGATTTCGCCTTATTATTTTTTACTGAAAATACACTTATTATTATTGACCAGCGACAACCATTAATCATTTTTACATAATGATAAGTTGCCATCRTTTATTTCAACAAAAACAATAGTGCTACTAAATACTATAACATATTACTTACACTTACGGACTTATGGTATTACTATTTATGATATACATTTACTTATCTTCTACCCTGCTGTGAAATCATTCTGCTTACTTTTGTTGTTTGTATGGCATATACAAATGCTAAGACTGTCATCCAGTTAGACTACCTATAAACCAGGAAAATAATTACAGGGAGGATCAGTATTTTTTGAAAAGTATGATTCCTATTTATTATCAGTCCTGAAACATATATTTTTATTTAATGCAGTCCTCTTTTTAGTGATTTAAGTAATAATATTTTAATAAATACTGATCCAAACATGATTTTACTGTTTTATATTCTCCTGAATCAGTAAATAGTAAATACCAGTTCAAGGAAATACTTATTCCATAATAGATGCCATTTTTAAATAATATTCTATATAAAAATAACACTTTGTATTTTTTTCTGTTAAATACTTGTAGTCACACTATATTGTTTATAATATTTATTATACATACAAATTTTAATGATATTATTAACGTTTCTGTTGTTAAGCATGACATGATCATATGAAATCTGTACTCTTTTAATCYTATTATAATGGGAGATTATTACCAGCATTTTATTAATGTGAGTTAAATTTATAATTATGTAATATAATATAATTTAAGATTTTTCATAAAATATGCATTAATAATTTATGGTTATTGTTTTTTTAATTTAAGAATCATAACGGTATGGAACATATACTAGAACCGAGATGTCCTGGGTACTATTGTGGTCGAAGAGATTTAGGTAATGGACGTACAAGTGATTGTGGTTCATGTCCGTCTGGTACAAAAGTGAACTCATTACATATTTGTCAACCATGTACAGATTCTCCATCGTCATATGATTTCATGTACCTCCTATTCATGGCGACAGTGCCTTTATTATTCCATGCCGTGTATATAGATCTTTCTTTGTCATCAATATTATGGGCATTCAAAGGAAAAAGGTACTTATTCATTTTTGAATTTGTTTTTTAAAGATGGTTTTAATTTTAATATTTTTGATTGCTAAATTAATTACATTTTTTTGCAGTGGACATTCTCAGAAAAAAACAAAAACAAAAATTGTCCTAAATATATCAGCAATATTAGAAATATTAATTGCTGCGGTTTTAGCAGTCCTAGTTGTTGATCCTATTGGGAAACTATGGATTCGATCGTGCCGTACGCAATGGCTATCTGATTGGTATACGGTTTTGTATAATCCAACACCAGATTACCGTGAATCCTTACGATGTACTCAAGAAGCTGTCTATCCATTGTAAGTTTTATTTATATTTTATGTCATTGATAATAAGTTAATGATTGTACCTGTTTATTTATGATGTTACCTAAATTCAATAACATAGTATTCATTATATGTATTTCAATGTTACTTTAGAACATGTTTTTATTTTTGGTAAACAATTTTCAGGTATTCCATGATTTTTATTTTTTATTTGGCTTGTATTATTGTTTTACTCACTATACGTCCATTGCTGTCTGCTTATTTTAGTCTTAACAGTGGGGCCTATTTGAAAACTATATATGCTGGATTATATTTTTTCCCTATAGCAGCTTTAATTCATGCGTTCCTAGGAGGTATTGTTTGTAAGTATTGTTAAAAACATTTTATTTTAAATATGTAGTATTTAAATTAATTTTTAATTCTTTTCGTAGATGTCACATTTCCTTATATTGTAATTGTTGTTTCTGTAATATCAAGTGCGATTCATTTTGCTACAGAAATAAATCAGGTATTCAATTTTAATTGTTTCATTAATGTTATAAATAATACTATTTTCAATTCAATAGTCTGCAAAATATTTGATTGTGAACACTGTATGTGTGCCAAGAAACATACTGATTGTAGCTGTTCATTGGGTCAGCCATGGATTTGGTATTGTTGCCATAACTCAGTTGGAAAATCCACCAGTTGACTATGCTTTATTGTTACTCATTCCTTTACCAACTCTTTTCTATATAGCAACTACTCGCATAAGTGAACCATCAAAAATTCTTGTATTGTAATGGTGACTTAATTGTTTCAAATGAAAAAAAAATTGAACAAATGTACAATTATTTACTATATTTGTATACTGTATATATTATWTTGTTATTAATGAAATTAATTTTTTTTTTATTTGTTATCAATAATCCAATAAATTGTAATATTTAATTATTTATTAGCATTAATACTACATTATTTATAATACATATAATTTATTGCATAACTAGTATTTGGAAGAAAGGCGATTAGGTTGTTATATATGGTTACTAAATTTTTGATTAAAGGAGAAAATGATAACATGCTAGATGTGCTAGAAACTAATTGACAGGTATTTGAATTCAATGTCAACACAAAATTAATAATGTACTTGGTTAAGTATTTTAAGTACTTTTTCAAATTATTTGTTTTTAACAACAAATAATTTTTTTCTTATTTAATAGGTATATTATTTTGAATTCAATTAACTTCTTTAGTATATTATATATACATATATAAATGGATAAATATGTGCTTAAGTTATGTCATAACTCATAAGTTTATGATTAATTTATTTTGTTATGACTTAACAATATAAAATACAAGCTACCTATCATCTATATAAAACAATGACATTTTCTAGTAGCTTTATTTACATTTAAACATAAATATGTTTTAAGCGATTCTATATAGAAAAAACATTCCCAATAAGATATAGAATTAGTATCAATATAATTTACCATATAAATTGTATTTTATTTTAAATAAAGGTTTATAAAAATATTTAAAATACAAATGTATTAATTTTTAAATATTGATTTTTTCTGTTAGTAAGAGAAGTTTTTACATCAGTTCATGTAATCTTATTACTTTGATTGTAAAATATGAGTAAAAGTTCTATTCTGGTAAGGTCTACCACTGTTTATAGACTTTAATCTATAAAACTTGAAGGTCCACGGCTTTTTTTAGGGACAATTAATTCATTGCATAGAAGGAATATACTATATTGTTCAGTGTTGATTCTGTGACTCATTGAGATCGAATGCTTATATAACGCTAATACATAATAGTTTTTTACACATATTATAAGCACAGAATAGATAAAATCTATTATTTTATCTGTTCTGTATTATATCTTATGAGTTATGAATTATAGAATGTCATAAATTATTAATTATAATGTACTAATAATTCATATATAGCCATATAGGTAATATATTGTAATTCATGTCGAATGTCTATGTTGTATTGTCCTTTATGCAATAATGCATCCCTGAATTAAGTAGGCTGCAGCGTTTCACAAATGCACAACTACTAATTAAGTGTCAAAACATAAGTACTTAGTGGTATAGTACCTAGTACCATGACAAAATAAATTTATTTTGTCATTAATCATGATGCATATTGCATTCATGCATTGATGCCTATTTCCTAGTTTCCTACTAGTTACTATCTATTAGTTATTTTATTACATATTGTTTAAATTTATATTTTTTGAAATTTGCTTATCTGACGTCGGTCGTTATCATTTATCATCTTCGTCAACCGCCGCCTTCGCTGCGAGAACAACATGGTATTCCGGAACTCGGGGGACTCGGTTGCTCGTACTTCGTTCCTTCCCGGCGTGCAGTCGCCAGTCAGGGCCGCTGGCGGCGGACAATTCACATCGCACGGCGCACAGTGCGGCAACGTGGCACGAGAATTCCATCCGTCGCGGATTGTGTGCGAGTGTGCGACGTGCGTGCGTGTGTCATTGTCAGACTGTCAGTGTGTGTGTATCGTTGTTGACGCCCGAAATTTTTGTTATTCTAACATATTTGACACTACAACGGTATATTAAGTGCTGCATAAAAGATCGTCTGGCTTCTAGGTGTACGCGAAATTTGTTTCCGTCTTTTTAGTGGTCTTCCTGTACGTGCGCAGTGTTTTTTTAAAATTGCATCCCCTCCTCACCCACACCACGCGCCGGTCGAGCCGAATTACATGTAGCGTAGTACCCGTGCGTCTCGTAGACGGTTTTTGTCGTAGATTTTGTTTTTGATTTTTATTTTCTGTTCGGTTTTTTGTTCGCGATCGCCTTCTGCCATTTCTTTTTATCGACGTTGGTCCGTGTGTGTTGGTTCGCAGGTTACACTCCATACACGGGTTGAAGTCCGCTGCTGGGCAGCATTCGAGTGCTGTGACAACTTTCCGAGTACTCTTTGCTGCTTACTCACCAGGTAACCGATACTACTCGGAGAAATTACAAATTATATTAATTATGATACTTAAGTTGCGTTCTATGTAATCGTCTCGTCGAAATGTGCTTACATTTATGTGTGTTGTGTCTGTGTGATTGCAGTATGTACATTGACTTTGTGTCCGTCTTCCTGTTTCAATGGCTTGTTGTAACTATATTTATTTTTTTTCAGTGTATACATAAGAGTGTTTCTATAGGGGCAGCATGCAGACCATCAAGTGTGTTGTTGTTGGTGATGGAGCTGTTGGTAAGACTTGTCTGCTCATATCGTACACGACAAACAAGTTTCCTTCAGAATATGTTCCAACTGTAAGTACTCATTAATTTACTATCAATTTACAATATTATTCATGTTTGGGTAGAGRATAGTAAGAAGTAGTAATAGTAGAGAATTTAAATACCAATATTATATTATTATACTGCTATTTTTATAATTTCTCTGCCTATACTGTATTTTATTTGTGTTCATGAGGTTTACAAATTACAAATTTCAGATTTCTATTTTATAACACAAATTCACTCCTATAAGTAGATGAATCTACTTATTTGTGTTTTTTCAGGCAACAACAAAAACCTAGTAATAAATAGTTGTAAACAAAATATTTTATTTTATTTACCCATCATTATTTTTTTGATAATACCTAATAATTTTGATATTTTGACAATCATATATTAAATTATGTTAGGTATACATTAATTATATCCTATKCACATWCAATATGAAAACAAACAACAGCTAGTTTATAGGTATACCTATAAATGTATTAGGTAGGTACCTACATTACAAATTGTTCATATTTTGATTCAGRTAACTCTTACTTCCCATTTGTATAAATGAAACTAAACATAAGTTAAAAGTTATTATTTGATGAGCAAACATTTAAAAGAAAAGGAAGTAGTACCAAGTGCCTATTTATTAGTAGGCGTGTAACGTGTATGTTGTTGCATACATAATATTTATACACTAAGTAGGTATCTAGTTAACTACAATAATAATATAACCTTTAAACTTTTTATCATAATATTTAATGTTTGATTTGATATTATATATTCATACATTAGTCTCTTTGATTAAAACATTTTTTTATTAAATTTTGTGTTTTTGAATATGTTATGTTAAGGTAACACTGTACTTTAAATAGATGTCTAAACAATAATTTGTCGATTATATTTCAAATACAACAGAATATTTTTTAAAACTGGTACAATAATAAAATACAGGTATTCACTATAGAAAAGTGTTTCCCAACTAATATTTATCTATTTTATTCTATATACTTTGGACATATCACCAAAMAATGACAAATTAAATCTCTGATACAGATAATTATGATACCATAAATGTATTTATCATAAAATATGTTATTTTTAAATTTTTAACAAGTATATTTTTGTTAAAGGTTTTTGACAATTATGCAGTGACAGTTATGATTGGTGGAGAGCCATACACATTAGGTTTATTTGATACAGCAGGTAAAATAATTACTCAACATTAAAAYGGTAATTTTTCAATCTAATGTCTCTTAATAATTGTTATGCTTATTTATAAAACATTAGGTCAGGAAGATTATGATCGCCTCAGACCTTTGAGTTATCCACAAACTGATGTGTTTCTTGTTTGTTTCTCCGTGGTTTCACCATCTTCATTTGAAAAMGTTAAAGAAAAGGTAAAAATATCTTAATGTAATTAAGTTGCCAATTGATAACAATTAATATGAATTTTCTAGTGGGTCCCAGAGATAACGCATCATTGTCAAAAAACACCATTCCTGTTGGTTGGTACACAAATAGACCTCAGAGAAGATGCCACAACAGTGGAAAAACTAGCCAAAAATAAACAAAAATCAATATCATTTGAACAAGGAGAGAAGCTAGCTAAAGAGCTTAAAGCTGTGAAATATGTTGAATGCTCAGCACTTACACAAGTTAGTACATTGAATTTTTGAAATTGATTTGAAAAGATTAACTATAATATATGTTAGTTGATAGTAAAAGGACAATTTGTATCTCTAAATAGTGAACACTTTCTGTCACTCAAAATTGTGTCAAATATTCTGAAGGGGTTCAATTAAGAATTGGGATTAAGATTATGCTTATAATAATTATGTAGTTAACTGTTTTTTTTAGAAGTTAATTTTTATTAATTGTGATAGGTAATATCAAACATAATATATTACTTATTAAAATTTATTTAATAGTGGTGTGTGTACAATGTCCATATTGTATCAATACAATACAAATAATAAACTACATTGCTTATTTAAAATCATTCTAAATAATTTGAACAATTATTCTAAAATAACAACAAAAATCCTCTTAACCCTACAGCACATGCTGTATTACTGTTTCAAAAATACGAAATATTAACCTAACTCAATCTAGGTACCTTCTAATTAGATGATAAACTCAAATTAGATACAACTCCTGACTGTTTATGATTTGATGCCTGTACTATAGAAGGGTTCAAAGTTCACTACCTACCAATAGGGTGGCCCTTATTTTTGAACTCGCAAATTTTTAATTTCTCACCCCCTCATTTTGTTCATTACTATAAAAAACTAATTTTTGTTGAATTTGATCATGATTGTTCACCCCCTTCGCGTGCCCCAAAAGGCCTAAAAAATGCAAAATAGGGGTTTTTTGTCGTTTTTTGAGTTTAATCAAATAAATATTGCACTTTTCGATAAAATTTATATAACTTAAATTATAGATATTTATATTTTTAATAATAAACATATTTATACAATTTCTTATAAATTTATTATTTTCCAAGAAAAATGATAAAATACAAAATTTTTAATTTATTTAAAAAATTTATTTTTATTAGGTTATTTACATTTATTCGAATAACGGTTGGTGATAAAACAAAATATCCTGTATAAAAATTATCAGAAATTTTATCTCCTAAAATAAGTTAAAAAGTGTAAATTGTATTGRAGTTAATGTTTTATTGTCATAGTTAAGTTAAAATAAAAAAAAAATAAAAGTATATACAATTGATCTATCCTATCTATAATTATGAAATCACAATAGTTTTATTTATAATCACGTTTTTAAGAGAATAATACAATGCGTACAAGTAAAATGTAGATAATATTATTAATTTATACCCAATCGACTTTATATCTAATTGTTATTTAAGTATAGGTAATCGGCAAACGAAACGTTAGAGTATTATATTGGAATCGGAAAATTGCAGATATTTTACATTTAAGATTAGATAATTTTATCGATAATGATATTATATTGTGACAGTAGAGGCAAGGCATTCATGTATTTGGCAGTTTGTCACAAACCATTGACATTAWTTGTCTACATACCTATGTATTAAACACAATTTAAATTTTTTGTATAAGAAATTATTACTCAAAGTTTACAAATACCATTCGTTTAGATACATACTTATTTTTTAAATTTATTATTATGGCGTCGTCATCAAAAATAAATCTTCGTGATTCCAATAAGGTATTTTTAGTTGGACATATTTCGAATCAAATTATAGGTAGTAAGTTACCTTCATTAAAACAGGTGTTAAGTGTTCTCTTTTTTAACATACGTAAAGTAAATTTAAATTTACGCGACAGTGCTAAATTAGTGATCTGCGAAGTCATTATATTTTGGGAAAAAGCACGTATTCCAGTTAGAAAAGAATATCACTTGTTGAAATATTTTTATTTCGTAAAGAATTTAAAATAAACTTTTAAAAGAAAATAATGCTTTACGTGACTTATGTATTTTTATAGCTCCAAACATGGGCTTGCAATTTATTAAAGATATTATATTGTATGAGGTAATTGATGAACAAATTTCTAAGTCAGCGTTAAAAAAAATGTGTGGTCATTTATGGTACTTAACACCAGAAGCGACTTCATTAGTATTTTTTGATGACAAAGTATCATCACAAACCAAAATAAAATGGTTAAAGCAATGCAGTCTCGTGATATCGAATCAGAAGCCAACAAATGAATAATTTTRAAACCAAATGAAATATACGATTATGCTAATAAAGATATCAATGATTTCATATCTATCCAATCTAGTAATTTTTTTAATAGATTTGGTATACCGATAGACTTTTTAGATTTAGATCCCAAATTGTAGAATGAAAATGACCAGTACAAAAGAAGTAAAGAATTGGTAAATAATATAAATGTCGTAAATGATATTGCGGAGAGAGGAGTTAAGTTGATTGAAGATTATAACAAGCTATTAACCAAAAACAAAGATCAGAAGCAATATTTACTGCAAGTAGTCAGCAAGTATCGTCAGCAATTTCCAGATTGTAAAAAAATCACTTTATCCAAGAACTATTAAATAATCATAGACATCACCAACCGTTATTCTAATAAAATGTGTAAATAACCTTAAAAAAATAAATTTTTTAAATAAATTAAAAATTTTGTATTTTCTAATTTTTCTTGGAAAATAATAAATTCATAAGAAATTGTATAAATATGATTATTATTAAAAATATAAATATCTATTAATTAAGTTCTATAAATTTTATCGAAAAGTGCAATATTTATTTGATAAAACTCAAAAAACGACAAAAAAACCCCTATTTTGCATTGTATGAAGAATTAGAATAAAAATCAGAGTAAGCATTATTATGTAGATAATTTTAATAATATCAGATAGTAAGATATTTGAATTGAAAAATAAAACAGAAAGAAATAAAAGAATAGATTTTTGATGTGTGCATATAAGTTCATCAAATAGTTTCCTATTATAAACTTATTAAACTCATTAACTTTATCTAATAATAATTTACAACTAACACAATATGGCTAATGATGGAATGCTATTATGCTAATGAAGTTTACTTAAAATATTCCTCAGAATCTGGTAAGTCATAGGGAACTTAATCAACAACAATTTTTTTTTACATTCCTCAGAAAATGTTTGATTAGATTAGATCCAGAACACAGTTGTGGGAATCAATCATTAATGATACAAAATCAAGTCAGAAATCTCATTTCTTTCAAAATACAACTTAAGTTGTTTTAAAATTTAAAAAAAAAAATTGTACATATGCAATGTCTGATGCATTTTTAAAATTTATTGTTGTATATGATATACCTATCCGAGGTACCTAATAGCAATTATTTTAATAGCTTTAATACTTATCTTCTATTGTTTACAGAAAGGACTAAAAAATGTATTTGATGAAGCTATTCTTGCAGCTTTAGAGCCTCCTGAACCAGTTAAGAAGAGGAAGTGTGTTATATTGTAAGGCTGTGGATAAATAAACAGGTGCAACAATTTTGTCATAAAATATTTAAGATAAAACAATTTAAATCATGATTTAGCATGGATACAATAATGAAATAATTATTATTTTGTTTTTACTAATCTATAAATATATATATATATATATATAAATAATTTATTTTATATTTTACAAGAAATTATGTGCATTCATTGAATAATAAATAAATAGGGTTTTTATACGCCATAATAAATTGTGGTTGTTTTTGTTTATCATAATAACGACCCAATTTATTTTTATTTTTATTCTTTTGTCAATCCTCTTAATATGTATCATTTTATGTTGATTAATATATAATTTTTCTTGAAAGTAATATTCACTTGTAACACCAGTTACTTATTTTTTAATTAATAATATTATTAAGATACATATTAATTATTATTAATGTTTAAACTAAATCCAGCCATAATATGAAAATAATATCTTACAACATTATGTGTAGGTAGGCTAATAAACCAAAAATTAAAAATTGTATCCATTTACGGTAATAGCTGAATTGTTATCTGCCAAAAATAATTTTAAAAGTAGACCTAACAGATATTTTTTTAAACTAACTTTTTTATGCTTAATTGTATTTCTATTTTTTTATAATTACTGATTTGTAGACCAATTAATTTTAATACAATGTTAAGTGAACAACAACTCAAATGCCTCAAGACCTTTTTTTGTCTTTGACTTTCAAAAGTACAAAATAATATTGTATAGTCAAAATTGTACTTTCAATTGCTTATGGATGTTGAACTCTGCTTTGAAATGATGAAGGTTAATATTACATGCAAACAATGATAATTATTAATACAATCAAAATAATATGTTTAGATACAAAGACTTATACATATATTATATATTTATTGTCAACCTCTTAAATAATTGTTGTAAACTGCAGGTGCAATGTTTAAAGTTTTAAATGGTTGTTCAATTAACTTAATAAAATAGACGAGTCTAGAAATACTTTATATAATAATGTTCTAGATGTAATGGATCATCTTGATGTCACATTGGTTAAATAAAATATTTATTTTTAACTGKCTTTTTAGTTTATTGTTTGTACCTCATAATCCAAATTGATGAACTGTTTTTCTTGCTTATAGATAAGTGATTACTATATAATGAGAATCATTTAATGTATTATCAATGATTTTGTAAATTTATTCAAATAGCATTATGACAATAATTCTTAATTATCAATGCGATATAATTTATTATTATTTCTTGTGAAGGGTACCTATTTATGACGTGCAAATTCTATATTATGTACTTCGTATTAAATTAATTTAAATGAAAAAAAGTAGTTGCTCTATTAATGTATTTATGGGGACTAGTGGCTGTGATTTTATATTTTTATTAATAACCACTGCTGTACTAGAACGATTTGTTAGCTTATGCGGATAGCTGCTGATATTCAGAAAATTCTGATCACCCCTATAAAATTATGATGGTGATTAAAATAATWATTATTTTCAGGTTGTGTGTCATACACTCATACGTCATACACCACGTTTTCTGCACGGATTATAATTTATTAAGAACAAATTGTTGATTTTTTGTCGCTTAATCTGGTCGACGGGCGTGACAACGGCTTTAAGTAAAAAATTCATATTTCTGGTGGTGGGAGAGGGGCATTCAAAAAATTAAAATAAACATAATATACCTTTAAGGTCAGATAGTGGAGGGGAGATGGTCACGCTCATACAAACCGGTGCGTCATTTTTCTTCCGGTTATTGTGCATATTATGCCATATAGAAACTACAGCAACATTACAATACAATCGTATGATGTACGTCACTCGTCGGTATGTGACGCACACACATGATTTTTATGGTGAGTTACTTTCTAGGAAGCATTGTAGAAGTGGTATTGGTATTGTGGTTAACTGGTGACCGGGAAGAAGGGGTATGGGATGTATGGAATTTAAACTCGTACATCATAATATTATGTAGACACTAGACAAGTTTCAACGTCTTCGATATCATACATGATTCACTTATATACATATACATTTGTATTCATTAAATTTTATCAATTTTATTATTATTTCTATATTTCTATATTGATAGTAATAGTATTCTATACTAACCTACTTTGTTTTGAGTAATGTTACTATTATGCGGTTGAAAATTTATTTCGAGATTCCTCATAAGTTTACCTTACTTTATGTTGCATAAAAAAAGTTTACTGGGAAGTCAAATTGAAGTTCAAATTAATTCTATATTAAATTATCGCCTATAAGCTTGGTAATGATATCTCATGGAATAATTGTCTTGTAGTCTAAAACCATTTTCTTTAATAATAATATTCGCGGTATAATTTTCTATATAGTTTTAATTTTTTATTTATTTTTTTTTTTATTTTACACAATATATATACAATCTGTACAATTTTGCACAATTAGCATATTTGATAAGGGTTAAAAATATAATACATGAGTACTTGAGTAAGAAGCCACCCACTAATGGCACTTAACAAAGTTTTAATTTAAAAAAACTAAAGATACTTATTTCACATAAGGTTTAGTTCGCGGAAAATGTTGACCATTCAACATTTTCTGTTCTTACTTTTTCTCTGGCGGCATAACTTAAGGAAACCAAAATGGTTTCGTTGGTGATGTCTATACGTGTGACAGTCTGGTAGTTATTTATTAGTCTGTTACATTTTAGTTTACTTGTTATAATGGAACGATTTCGAGTTGGTTCCCTGGCTGTCTATAGGTAGCATAGGCTATTGGTTCGCGGGTTGTCTTTAAAAGTAATGATATATGAACTGGCGAAATCTCATAACGATAATATATACAACTATATAATTGTATGGGTAATTTTTAAAAGTTCCATCAACAAACAATTTTCATTTTGATGAGTATCTCTAAATTATGGTAGACATGATAAACAAATATAAACTATAATATTATTTTCACGATCATTTATAAGCTTAAAATTATCTTTACTATTTGTTCATGTAGTTCTAATATATCTAGRAAAAAAAATCCCCGGAAAAAATGCCCCAATATYAAAATACGKTAAAAAAAGCCCCGGCTATAGGAAAAAAAACCCCCAACTTAATTCATTACATATTTTTATCGAAGTGTACATTTTATGGGAGATGKTATTTTGCGCCAATTTAATTACCTGTAATTTGCGCCATTAAAAGGTACATTTAAGGGCGTATGTAATATGCGCCAAAATATAAAAATATAATATGTATTTTGCGCCACATATACAAATTAATTTTGGTAATTTGCRCCACGACAGAAAATGAAATGGATTATGTAATTTGCGCCACACTTTCAACTTCAATATTGTTGGAATTTACTGGCAGATAAATTTACTGATATCGCATAGGATATACAATAATACGCACGTGTGTCCAATTTAATATTGTTGTGTTCTACTGATAATAGAGACATATCGTCTCTATTAGACGTAATCGATCTCCAATTACGTCTAATCTAATGAAAATTATCAATGTATCGTTACACATTGACAAATTGTTAATATTGAACAACAATGTCGCTAATCATGATATTTACAGT